GGCATTAAAGTAATCCTGGAACGTGGTTGCGTCCGTTGGTGAAAGAATCGGAATCAGCACGAAGAAATGAGATTTAATTCCGGTCTGTTTTACGGGCGTTGATCTTTTTCAAGCATTTTCACGAGGACGCGCTCATTTATCGGCGATGTAAAAGCAAATGCAATATTAGAAGTGCAAAGATAGAATATTATATGACTCCAAATTCTTTTCTATTTTATACTGCTCAACAAAAAATTAAATGAGGCAGCGATAATATAATTATAATTACTTTATATTAGAGATTCGGACCAATTACGTATCAAAGTCTAGATTAAAATCAAGTACACACTTTAAGTTTTAATTAAACCTATTTCAAACATTAAATAAATAAATAAAATAAGAACAAATAACAATAATATATTTAATTTTCGCGCATAATTTAAAAAATAAAACTTGAATTTATTCAAGAATATATTTATATTTCGTAATCAGTTTATATGATAGAAGCTATTAATTTCTTACAATTTAAAGAAATAAAGCAATAGCTATATTGTTAAAAAAAACAATAGCTGTATAATATTGTATTAGAGCAAACAAACTTTAAAAAGTATAAATGTCTTTATAACAACTACTATATTAAGCTTAATCAAAAATTCAAAATATGTATATTATTACTGCATATGATAGCGCTTCAGTAATAGTTAATCATTAGCAAATTAATTCGATATATTGTTTGTCATCAATTTATTAGGTGGAGTGACATATTCAAGCGTACGTGTTGACGCGGGGTAAACAGACACCTCTCCATCGCAATAAATTCGACACTATATTGCGACTGACAAGTGAATGAGAACGTTTATTTTAAATTAACAGAGCGGCAAAGCGTGTATTGTTCGTAGTTACAGCAGAAGATATTAATAGTCGATGGCCATTTAGTTACAATCGTTTGCACGAATTGAAATTATCTGCAGAGCATCAAATACGACACATGAACAAGCGGGTGTGTTTAAGATAGTTAAATTACTGAAAATAGATCAGAAAATTTAACAAACCAATAGATGAAGATGATGATAATAATAATAACAATATAAAGATATTAATTTCTAAATGACAACATTGATATATGTGTCAAATATTACTGTTTCAAATATAAAAAACACAATTGTTTTAACTATATAAGCATTAGAAAATATTTTTAATCTTAATATAGGAGTAGTATTTTTACAATAAATCTATTTTTTTCGATGTTGTAATTAAATTTTTTTATGATTTGTGCCGTAGGGTCGTGGAAAACTAAAATAATAATTTTTCATTTGTGTAAAAATCAAATACGTTTAACAAGAACACATATTTCAAATTCAATAGTTTTTGGCAGATCGTTGATAGTGCATTTCTAGGACATATTGAAAATAAAGTTAATAAATCAAAGTTATTTAAAACAAGAATTATATATAAAAAATATTTTCTTGTTTGCACAAATAGCAATTAACGCTTTTTAAAGGGCAATAAATGTTCAAATTAACATTCATTTATAAATCAACAGTTGAACATGATATTTTCTACTCACACTACGTCATTTTCACATTAGTTTGATAATCAACAAAAAATTCTAATTTCCTACAATTTTTTAAGTAACTAATAAGTAAGATATGTAATATAATAATATAATTTATGTACATACGCAATGAATTGCTTTCTAAACTACGTATAACAATAGAATAAGAAATAATATATATAATAATTACGTTTCTTTCGACAGAAGACCTTTTCTAGAATTGTTATTTTGAAGTTCATTGCCCACGATTTGTTCGATTTGTACGTCACTCCCATACTCTGTTCGATTCAAATTTTTCATTCAGTCCGAAACGATCGAGATAAAAACACGGAATAACATCGACGAAGTCGCGTGCGGCAATATCAGGAGAGCATTATTCGCCGTTAGATTAATATCCCGTCGGTGGCATCGTGCTGTCGTTTCGCCGTTGCCTTGTTCTGGTAGTCTGCCAAAAGCGCGTAGTATTGTACGTCCCGGAACCGGAAACACCCACCCCGTATAACCGTCGGGCCGCACATCCGAATATCACCGAGGGAGAGAGCGCCCTTGGAATCGCGCAATCTCGAGATCGGGACTCACGCGAAATCCGGACTAAAGTGGACCGCGCCCGCGTTGCAAAACTTCATTCGAATAAATTAATTAGCCCGGTGTTACAGGCAGGAACGAGAGCAGAGAAGACGGGATGTTTTACAGAGTTGAAGGACGATTAAGTCACAGAAGACGACCTCTTGTGTGCCTCGTGTATGCCGAATTTGTGGTTAAAAGACTGTAAATCTCAAAGAGCGGCTACATTATTCCACGATACTATTTAACGCATACGCCTATACGCGAAATTATTGTACACAAACATTGAATACAAATCTTTATTATATCGGCGATAAGTATTTAAACATTATAAATTTTATGACATATCCGTCTTTGTTGCTGTAATTTAAAGAAATGAGGTAATTGTGGAATAAATGGTGATAAATAATGATTTCAAAGTTTCTTCATATAATTTATGAAGCTTCATCTTAATGTGTTATTTAAACTTTAATTAACAGAACAATTAATCCTTTAAGGATCGGAATTTTCTAACGAAAAATTTATGGAAGATTTTATTTTCTTAGGATTTTCGGAGTCACTGAATTCGATTCTGGCCTTACGATTCCAAAATTCAAATTTAAAAAATTTGATTATTGTAAAACTGAGTTTTCGGAAATTCTTGATATCTCCGAGTTCGAATGTAGTCTGAATATATTGAATTTCAAAAGGATAATAATCACTATGAATGATCTAGTGTCACAAGACTTACAATCATAGTTTGAGAGTCAGTTTGGAAATTAGTACTGACTGTTTACTTAGCACTAAACTTCAAATAAAGCAAAATTAGATGTTACTTCGCAATTAAACATTCCCTAAAACTGCAGAGTTTTATGATAATGAAATTAATTTTTAGAAAATTCCGTCCACCATATTGGTCCACTATGAATTATTTTTTATCTTTAACCTCAAAAATTTGAATAAAGCATTACAAATTACCCTATAAACTAAGTTTCATAAAAGTCGAGCAAGCAGTTTATAAAATGAAAAGGGATGACTCCAAATGGGGTCGCCAGTCCACAAAGGATTAATGTTTCTCTCTTAAAAACTCAATTTTATTTAATAGTGGCAAATAAAACTACTTTGATGTTATCGCCGAACCAATATATCATTACCGAAGAACGCTTTTTTATAATTTTTTCTACCGTGAATTAAAAAGGAGGTTAAGTATAAAAGATTGTAAATGATTACGTTCCATCAATGCGTCACAAGTAGGTTTCGTATCCTGAATCCTAAGTTAGGCGTTACGAAATGAACTTTTCGAAAGCCGTAGATAATCCCAGCTAAAAGACTACAAAGTTCTCGAGACGAAGTACTTTTAACGTTTATCGTTAGATCATGAACTGCTCACCGTGTTCTAAAGAGACTGCCATTTGCACTATGAAGGTAATCATTCCTTCTACAGTCTCTTCATATAGATTATCTCGAAAATCAGGTTATGATTTTTTAAAATTTATTTCTTCATCAAATAGAAATCAAAATGGCAATTTCAGAAATGCTATATTAATATAATTATAATCGAACTTGTTAATAACATTTGACTGAAGACTAAGTAGAATTTAAACGTTTTTGTTACTTTTCCATTTTCTTAGAGAATAATTTAATTTATTAATCTTATTCTGCAACATCCATTGTTATTTTTTTGTATTGTCATCCTCCTATTTTGCTCTATAAATTTACGAATCTCATATTTTCTTTATTGTGTTCAGGGATGACAATTAAGTAAGGTGTTAATTGTTATTGTTTTTTATAATAACAATTTGGTAATGATGTTATAATTTTTTGTGATGGTAACGATAACATCAGGGACTCTATTCTTGAAAAGTATCGCATACAAAAAACTAGAGAAATGCTATAGTATATGTAACGCATACTATAATATTTTCCTAGTTTGTCGTATGCGATACTTTTCGAGAATAGAGGTCCAGAGTTGAAACAATTACTTTTGAAAATAATTCGTTACATAACGTTATCGTTACTATCATGAAAAATTATAACATCATTATCAAATCGTTATTATAAAAAAATAACGGTAACGGTGTTAAATAATAATAATAAAATGAAAAAATTGTTTGGAAAAAAGAGAATAGATCCATGTGAAAAGACAAAAATGGCCTATAAAACTGATTTTGTTCGCAATTAGAAGAAGCAAATTGCTGCTCCAAGATTACGAGTTCTGAGATGCCTTGTTCGCCGAGCCAGTTAAACTAGAGGGGGCCATAAAACTTCCTCGAATAAATTAATTAACCTGGAAGATCAGGAGCAAGTAAAGTGGAAACTCGGAGGGCAATTAAGACGACGCGACGTATCGTTCTTGCTGTAATATTGGGTACACCTTCGTGGTACAAAACAAGGGTATACGCGAATGGTTTTAGCGAGCTAACAAAAGATGTTACTGGATCGTAGCAAGTGATAACATTATTTGGAGGTGCAAATAGCTCAACACTGTGAAATTATACGTTAAAATCTTTTGTTTATATTCTCAACGGTAATAATATTAACACTTAAAACACAGACTTCTCTCGCTGAAAATTTGTCTTTGGTAGGTTACATTAATATTATTTTCAGGACTTCGTAATTCTTAATTTGAGATGTCAGAAATACCATAAGTTACTTTTATACCTCGCAGTCTAAATTAATCTCACACTTTGCAAGCTTGCACTGTTTTACGCGATTTAACTTCCACAGTTTACAGTTTGTGAGAAGATGAAAATCTGTAAAGCAAGCGGTGAAAATCTGTGGAAAGGAGTAAAAGGCAAACGAACAGTATGCACGAGAGGATGCGACTCGTGGACGTGCCGGAAATGGTCGAAATTCGGGAATTGGACAGCGTTTTGTTAGGCCATGGAACGGATCTATTGAATTTGACAAAGCTAAAACTCACTTTGCACTTTTCGTCTTCTTCGTCCCACTTGAAGCGGCAGTTAAACTTGCCGTTGCACTCTAATTCTGCAGCGATGCACGTCATGTCCTCGCAATCGTACTCGTCGTCCCTGCATGCTGCAAAATAAAAAAGAGAAACCACGAATGTTATAGAATGAGCGAAGAAATGTTGACTGTATAGAATTTATCGAATTTCTAAAATTCTCTTTTACTTATGAATATTTACTCGATTCTATTTGCGCATGCGCGTCAAACCGCATGCGTTAGATTTTAATCATACTTTTTTTAATCATTAATCTTCATTATACATACACACACACAGAAGAATATGTAGAGTTTCCCCCCACCATTTACATATAACACATAACATTAATATGTGTCAGATATGTAAAATTTTTAACAAATTTATAGCGAGCTTATAAATGTTTCCACCAAGATGTGTTTCTGTGAAATAATCGCGATAGTCGACTATTAATTCGTACAGGAAAGGAAAATTGTGCCTAAGGTCTTATACATCGATGGCTATGTGTTGGAGTGTAGTCGCGAGCAAGATATTAGTTTCGCGTTGGCGGCAGGTGTAGAAAACCGGAAATTCTTCTCATGCCATACTAGAACTCGTGTGAATTCCGCACACGTAACTGCGATTCTGCGGACCACCTCATTTAACATTCAGACAAGTGCGCTGCTATTAATTTGAAATTTGATTCCTTTACTTAAACGATTATCCCCAACTCCTCGCTAAACGTAAGATGCTTATTGAATAAGGCATACATATAATTATAGGCTGAAACGTGAAAATGTGTAAGTCTTTGTCTTCTAATAATCCAATTCCACTTGCCCTTTTAGAAATTTGTCGACTGGCGCATAAAATACTTATTTTAAAAGCGAGAATTTATTTTAAAGATATAAGTTGAAATTAAAATATTTTATTAAAATGTAGTAAACGTATCAATTAATTATTTAACTGTACTCTATTTAAAAATTTAAATTGTAAGTTAAAAATTGTATTGATTAAACAATAGGTACCTGTCAATTATTACTGATAACGAAAAAAACAGAGCTGTGTTTAAAATATTTTTGAGTGATTTTCATTTGCGGAGATTAACGGTTTGTTAATTCAAAACAGAAGTTGGCGCAATAACTGCATTGCTGATTGTGCAATTCAGAAAACAATAAAATAAAAATCCATATAGTATATGAGTTGGACACATACACTTGGGAAAAAAATTTTGTGAAATTGTAGCAGATATTTTTGCCATGTAGAAAATTTCCACGTTGTTATCGCAACCGCAACGATAGCTCAGTTCTGTAGTTTAAACTGCCAAAAGCAAATTGACCTTACACTATCTCATTGTTGAAAACTGTCAGAAATATCGGTTATATATGATAAAACATGTTTCAAGAACAGTGACCTTCATTTCTAGAGTATTTGAAAATTTTAGAATTTTCTTCTGAAAAAAATTGTACATTTTTTTATTAATAACAATATTTATCATTTTTGATTTGATAAATTTGTTTTTATCTCTCTTGTATAAAAATGCTTAAATATTAATTTTATTTTTGTAAATAACTATTGAAACAGAAATTAGCTGATAATTTATTTTATTATCATTAAAATTATTTATGCATACAAATGATTTTCTATGAAATCGAATAATTAGTAATTAGTTAGAGAATATTATCTTTTGATAATGAATAATCATAATGTAAATTTATACTTTATAAACCTTCATTAAACCTAATGTATTCTCATAGCATATATTACTCATAGATGATATGCTTATTTTGTTACGTTATTTGAAATTTAAATTTTACCTGTGATTCACAAATCTTTTTTTGTAAAATTGTATTATTCTACATTAAATAATGAATGTATATAAAATGTACATACCTACATTATAAGATAATATATAGAATAACACTGTTTGTGATAGATATGAAAGTGCACAGTAGATATTAGACATGTAGGAGTATTACTTGATTATAATACTAGTGTCATAATTTCACGTTTTAATTTAACCGTATACTTTATTACAATACATTTTGAATAACATTCATCTGTGCACGTTATGACGATGTTAACATTGATCTTTAATGGCAAGTCTATTTACACTCTTGTTTGAAGTATATCGTTCCGAAAAAAAGCATTTGATTTAAATACGTATATTTATTATTAGCATAAACTTACATTTCTCCTTATCTCTGACAGCAGTTACCACCGCCTCGAAGGTGCTGTTGAGAGCTTTCGGCTCTGCATAGAACCTCAAGTGGGCGACATTCTTCCCAACGATAATGGTGTCGGCGATACTACCGCAGAATTGCTTCGCCCTTGAGGATATGTCCGTTTTTTCTGCGAATATGTCTACAAAGTTGGCTTCGCATTCGTTTGGATGCTTCAGGACGAAAACGTCTAGAAGCAGTTGAATCTGAAAATTTCATGTGTTTTCATTTTCCTAAATGCATGCGCAATGCATTGGTTCGCTGCTCTTGGATAGTCGAGATCAAATTTGAAAAATTTCCGTGACGCGATTAATCCTTCGCAGCTGACGGGTTTATTGGACTCACTTAATTATAAACCTCTTGTGGCAAAAATGTTAAATAATTCAAGTTCTATGTTACATCTACAAATTTTGATTATTCTTATTAAAATATATGTACTTATAGTATTCATTGTTTTTAAATGTCATTTTGGTTTCTTGAAATTAATTAATGTCTTATAATTAACATAAATTAAATAGGTTTTACAGAACTATTATCTGTGTTACATATTTTGGAGTCCGTTCTAAAGAGTTAAACGATATTCTATTTTGCTATCGCATAGAATTCGTCGTCTACATTAAAACTATGAAATTGCACGCACGAGACAAAATCAATAAATAAACGACAAAAAGAAGACGCATCAAAGTCACGAGAATGCGAGAAATAACTACGTGTATAGAATTCCTTGAATGTAATAATACTGCAGCAAACTCCATTGTGACATTGCTGAAACTTTTTGAGAATATCGTGGCTTATAAGAAATACACGTGAAAACATAGCTCTTTTCACCTCGGGTTTTATCGCGCGTTTTGAAAAAAAATGGATAATTTTGTACATAGTTAGGAAGATATATTAGCTTCATTAACAATTTTAATAATAAAGTTTTGGAAACTAAAAGATTCTTCTGTGTTAAAGCAGATGCCGTTATCAGCCGCTATGTAAATTTTGTAACGGATGTATCGCAGACAAAGTATTTGCATAAAACCACTCCGTTATTTCCGTGCTACGACAGTAAAGAGCTATTGTAAATCATTCAGAAACGTGTTACTTTGAGCGAAACGACATTTGAAATCATGTTGCTACAGGCCAATAACAAACATTCGTATCGATTGAATGCTGTAGTAAAGTACACTTGAATCAAATAAGGATCGTAACGTTACATGACAATACGGAAATATTAAAAGAAACGTTTTATATGATCTAACTCATTGATATTAAATTTTCGGCAATGATATCATATATCTCAGTAATTCAGCGACATATAATATAGAAGAAGAAATGTTTTTACCTTCCATCCCTCTTTCACTTGAATGATCCACATGCAATCCAACGGCAACCCCTCTTTCTCGGCTTGAGCCTTCCTGTCTTTGACCAAGTCGCTGTGAATTATCATCTGCGTACCCGTTACGTTAAATATGCATGGTTCTTGTTCCGGTGGTATGCCCGCTGTGAATCATACCTATTACAGTTCTATACTTTCCCTAAGCTCACACATCAACGCTCGTGTATTTGAAACTTGTATTTGTCTATTCATTTTAATACCACTAACATTCAACCTTGACAATAAAAAAATGTATTTAGTATTACTAATTAAATAAATAAACTAAAAAAAAAGTTTGTTGCGTTTCATAAGATGACGATATGTAATGAAAATTATCTTGTTACGATATGACTTTCATAATATTCTATATTTCAACACTTTACAATATTTTACTTATATGGATTATACGAAAAACGATACATTCGCATACAAGGTAAAAAATAGCATAAGAGATCTGTTTGTTCCATCTATCTGGATTAATTTATACGTCGAATTGAAGTACTTAAACAGTTCCTTATTTATAAATAATAAATGAAAATTATACTATTCTGCACGCGCATAATGTGCTTTCGTTATGCGCGGGTTCATATGTGATATGTACAGCGTACATGCTCGGCTAGTAGATAGGATAGTTATGGTATGACAATCGTACTCCTCTGATCACGATTAGACACTGATTATATTTTTGCACTGAAAAATTGTAGCAATATAAAAGTAAATCTATTAAAAAACCAAAAAATTAGGAGAGTCTGACAAAAAAATAATCTTCTTATGACAAATATAAATAACTCTTTATAAATAAATAAATGGAGAAAAAATCATTTATATAATTATAAAAATAAAAATTAGAGATTAAAATCAATTGAATAAAGTATTACACTGAGAAAAAAATGCTGTTGATTCAATTAAAGTCTATATTACAGGCTGTCACTAACATAAGTAATTAATTCATGTATATTTTTATTGACATAAAGGCCTTGATTATTGAAATAATAATTTATGTCTTTATCAATAAAAATATACATGAATTAATCACTTATGTTAGTGACAGCCCGTAATATAGACTTTAATTGAATCAACAACATTTTTTTATCGGTGTAAAAATAATCAGATATTAATGAATACAAAAATATGAAAAACATTGTTGATGTGTCATTTTTTTCTAGATAAATTCATTTAGCGCAAAAGAAATATTGTACAACGATTATTAGAAAATATTTTATAACTGTTATTATTATAAAATAACAGTAAGAATACCATTTTGCAATATAATAATTTTACATTTTAAAAATCCTTAGAATCGTCATTTTTTGCCTCTTCAATGCCATTTTTTCAGAATTGTGACGTGATAGTCAACTTTAATCAACAAATTCATGTTTAACAGGTAAAAATACATCGACAATGACTATTCACACTTATGTAACAAAAAAAAGATCAAATTTTGTTCCACAGTATAATTATTAAAAAAGACATTTTTATGCTTGAATCATTTGTCGCTTTTTCCTTTTTTTCAATAATTATTAACATCTAGAAGTTCATAAAACATGGAAACTAAAGTGTTTCAGTTTTTAATGTAGTTGAAGTATTTCAACAATTCTCCTTTTAATTAAAAATTTAATTAAAAATGTATATTAATAAGAACACACCCTAACAATATTAAACAAACAGCATCCACGGTACCAGATGTTCCAATATTGAAACTTCAATGAATGAGTTAATCAACCACACAGCAAGATAAAATTTTCAATGTTTGATCTTGCATCCGTCTTTACTGTTCACTTTATACATCGGTCTAAAGATCGCACGGTTAAAACCAGAAGCCAGTGGTCGTACTCTGGATACTCACAGTCCCTTCGTTCTCCTACCAACTGACTATGAATTAATTTTGACCTCGGTTGCGGTTGCATGGCGCTTGCTGCCGTGGACCATCTATTTCTCTCGTGTCTCGTAATTTTCTGAACAATGACATCCGACGAAGATTCTCGATTATTCGCGATTGGAATATATGATCCAGAATTACTGATCACATGCTTGTCACGTTATTTCTATTTTCTTTGAACGTTTAGCATGTCTTGTTATATTATTATATATATAGAGAGAAATTACACCCGTTCAATACAATTTCAATTAAGAATAGTTCTATTTAATTAATTTAATTAAGTTAACTTAATTATAAGAATTATAGTTATAGCTATAATACAAATATAGGCGCATAATATTATTTAATATTAAGTAATATTTTAAGCATATTCTTAGAATATTAAATTATTGAACTTTTTCATTCTTTGTATCGTTATTAAATATATATTAATTTCAACTTTTATCTAAAAAAATTTTTTTTTTTCGTTATTTATAGACTTTCACTTTTTTGCGTTTATCATAAATAATATATAGTTTCATGATGAAGGGAATCAACTACTATGCTTTCATACGTGTCGATTAAGACATTATGAATCATTGAAATAATAGACGACAAATTAATTTCAATTATTATTGCGTCGGATAAAGTATTTCAGTAATAAGTTCTATGTTGTTAAAGACGTGAGAATCGTGCAAATAAGTATGAGAAACGGAAAAGTTAGGGTGCAATTTCGTGTTCGTTCGATTTAACTATTCGATTTAACTAATCGATTTAACTAATCCATGATTATGCGACGAAAGGATATATCTCACATCCGAGGAGAAGATTTGGCTGGCAGTAGATCAGTGTTAGAGGGAACTCGAGATAAATTTCTGCCACATGCCGAAGAAAGGAAGGTATCAATAAAATTTGTGATTCAAAAAAATTGTGTAAATAATCAATTTTTCTCGGAAAATATCTCTGTCAGCATTTTATAAATATTATACATAAAGATATAAAATAGATTATACAGTTACTAAAATAATTTTTTTTCTAATAACTCTTTATTATTGATTTGAAGAGATCCTCTAATAACAGTTTGGATATGAACCTTAATTTTGTACATGCAGAGTAATAGTTTTAACAAAATTATGCAAAAAAGAAAGACACATTTAGTATTCCTTTTTCTTTTTCATTTTGTTCTATCTTTTTCTTAACTATTTCTCTCTCTCTCTCTCTCTCTCCTCTCTCTCTCTCTCTCTCTCTCTCTCAGAAATTGTTACAATATAGCTGACCAATCAAAGCTGACTTTCTTATGTACAGACTTTTATTAAAAGATCTCTATTTGTTTACTTGTTCTTGCTTTATTCGAAGATTTAGAAATTATTAACTTGTATTTAACAATTACATTTTAATCAGAATTAGTTTAGAACATTTATTAAATAATATCGGAAGAGATTTTATGACTGAAACTTACGATAGGTCGGTCTCGGTATTGTGCTCCACACAGCTTTAAATCCCTTGCCTTCGATATTTTCGTCGCTATGGAATCGCAGCCAGAGGTATCGCGTCTTCGATGTGATCTCGGGAGGAAAATTCGTGCCGCAGAAGTTGCCGAGGAGATTAGAGTAACCGTACTGACCGTCACGTACCTCGAGGAAATCGAAACGGCAATCCGGGCTGTCTTCAAGCTTAAACTCATCTCGAAAGTCGAGCTTCAGTAGCATACCTTTGTCAGCTGAAACAAGAGAAGCCAGAGATGTACTGTTAGTAAATATACTGTAAAGAGAGACGCGAAAAGAGAAGGGGGAAAGCAACAATTTGCCTCGTGAGATGATAATAGAGTATGATAGAAAGATGCCACACATGAGACTAATAAATGTAAACTTTATACGTTCATCGGCATAGCACTGTAAAACTTCTTTTACATTTACATAAATACTTGTTAATTTTATAAATAGAGGAGATCTGGGCAAAAGTCGGCACTCGGCCTTAAATCATGAAAAGTAAATTGTATGAACTAGCCATTGATAGTGAGGACGTGACTTTATTTAGCTATGTTGGCAACGGACTTTGATTAAATTATTAGCAACATTACAGTTTTTAAAGCGATAAATATATTTTATATTTGAAAATAATTTTTCTGATACAAAGAAAATTTTCTTTTGCACATATTTTAATACTTCTATCTATAATTATTCAGGTACGTGGTTCTAAATTAAATATGTGTGATGAACACAAATTTGTTGTCGACTTTTACATTTTCGTGGATTCTTTACATGTTCTAAGTTAAGAAAGTAAAAATTAACGCTCGGGGCAAAGATGGCATAAAGAGATCGAGGCTTTTGTTCTTTTTTTATTGTAAATGCATCACTTTTTCTTCATTACAGCAAAATGATCCGGATCTACCATCTAGTCTTGTTGGACTTCGATAACAGTAACGATCTATGTTGTGTGCGTTTTGAAAATGTATGCCTGGTACAAAATAACATTTAAAAAATGCATCACATGCAAACATATATAATAGTTCATTGCAAATATGTTGTACACATATCCGATGTAGTTTTCACGTGTTTAAATTGCTTTTTCGATAGAAAAAGATTACTACTTTTGTAATTTTCTTTTGCAATCACTTTTTCAAATTTAATTACACTTTTTTGCATTTCTTTAAAACAATAAGTAAATGTATTTTAGAAGTATCTTTATTTTTCAAGAGCAAAATAATGTATTTGTACTCCAATTCTAGCCTGAACATAGGGTGCGACTGATTTTATCTCGGCAATTTTGCGATTTTACATTTAAAGATTGTGTTATTTTTTCTTTATACCAATGAAACAAAAAAATATGGACCAAAATTGCCTCGAACAGTTTAGCCAAGGGATTATTATCATTCTTTTTAACGGTACCATTTATTTATCAAATTTGAACAATAAAGGAACATAAAAGCCAACGCAGGGTGACCGTGCAATAAATATATTAATTTACTTTACATATATCTTGATAAACGTTTTGACCATTTAGAGTTAACTAAAAATTTTTATTTTATTATTAAAAATTGTCAAAGAAAAATAATGCCAACTAGCCCTGATTCTCTGTATACATACAATACATACATAAAAGTACAACTATAGATTAATTAATTAAAACTATTTTTTTCCAATCTAAAATTTTTGCTTTGCTAACAATTTATTACCATCTAGTAATTATTGATTATTAAGACTAATTACTAAGATTAATGATGACAAAAATCAGAAACGACGAGAAAAAAAGAATTTATCTCTTCTAATTTATTTATAGAAAGCAGCGATTCCTCTACCAACAAACAAGACAATATTACATTATCGCCATAAAAAATTGCTACTTTCTATTAAAAGGAAATTAATGGAGATGAACTTTTTGCCATATATTAATCTTAATAATTATTTGATAGTAATAAATTGATGACAAAGTAAAAAAGTTTAGATTGACAAGAAAAGTAGTATTATTAATTTTCACGGGCTAATAAAAATAAATTTATGCAACATTCGGAGTAATACAGCACTTTAATTTTAAAGTGTTTAATGCACACAGTGGTGTACAAAATTGCGCAGTGAAAACAAACAATTACTCATTTTGCTGATTTAAAATGATAATAATTGTAATGATGAATATTTACTTTAACTATGATTTCGGTTAACCAATAACCGCGATCAATATATAGATGCCGCGATATTTCGCAACTCAATGAGTTAATAATTATGCGTGCAATCTGATATCTGAAAGCCCGCGCGAACATATGCTCTGGTATTATATATTATCCTACGTAATATTTATAATATCATTATGCGTAATGATAGCATATGTATCGTTTTAATTATACCGGTTCTTATTTTGCTTTAGTTTGTTTTTTAAATATAAATAGAATAGTATGTGGAACATAGTTACATCTTTCTCTCCTAAAAACATTTCTCAGCAAGAATGTCTTTTATGGTCAGACGGATTACGGTCGACAAATATTCCAATGTCGTTAGTCTCGGAAGTCAGTCTGGCTCAGAGCCAAATTGTTCGTCAGGAACTGTGACACGAAGTCACGTTGTTTTCTTACTGGTCACCACGTTAGCGCTGCCGTAGTAGCGTTTACAAAGCATTTTTTCCATGTAATATAATACTTTGTGTCAAAAGGAATGCTAATAATACAATTTCCGGAACACGTTCCGTAGTGATAAATAAACAAAATCTTTAGAGAGAAGAACATTAAATAATCTACCGCGATAAACAAATATATCATTAACTTTTAAAAATTAGTTTGCTTTATACGTAAATTATTATTTTTCATGCTTTGTATATTCTATTTTTTTATTATTTATTAAATAAAAATGATAGTCTAACATTATCTATTATCACAAACATGTGCACCACGACAAAAAGACATTATTCTCGGAAAATCGCGGGGGCAAAACGTGTCGCCGTTATTTCCAGTAAATTCCTACCTACGCGATATGATCTATAATGAGACCGTAGGGATGCAAATACGGCTTCACTTTCTCTGCACGTACGAAACTTATCCGAGAATTATTCAGGCGAGACCGATCGTTAGGATACGCTCTATCTTCCGGCTCTAGTTAGATGTCCCGGTTTCCCGTTACACATCCGTGTGTTTGTCGGCACAATCGTGTGAGTCGTCAGTATATGGACCAGCAGTTCATTTGACTACGCGCATTTAGACATCCACCCTGGGCAACCACAGAACCATCCTATTATCCAAGTAACATGCCTTTATACGTGTCTACACGTTATTGAAGCCACGATTACCGGACATTTATTGCGTCCATGCATATGTGCAAAGATAACAAATTTTTTTACTTGATGTACAAACTTTATGAAAGTTAATTTAATATTTCGACTTTAATTCTACTTATACGTCCAATTATTAGTATTCTTATTATGACAAATATTTATAAATAAAATCTTTTGCCATCGAACATTGTTTTGAATCATGAATTGATCAATCCGCTTTCTTTATAATTTATTTGCACCGCAAATAATGCATCAATATGTGATCAAGAAAACATTGACTTTTAACTATATAGAAATTGTCGATATATTTATCTTGGATATAAATAGTCCTCAATGCGTTTTCAAAGGTAGTTCGTTTATTTTAAACGTCAAGATCGCGACAAGAACGGCGTATGCAAGTACAGAAAAACCTTTTAGATTTAAGTAAAATAAGTAACATATGACAAATGTCAAGTAAAAGTACTTTTACTTCAAGTAAAAGTATTAGAATTCAAATAGTCCAAAAGCTAACTATTCACATTTAAAAAGCGGTTATTCAAAATGTTTTTATAGTGTATAAAAACGTAAAATATACTTTATTAATATTAAATATACGCTATTAAACCATGTTTCGTAAATGTTTCGTATAAAAACAGTATATTTTAAATCAGTAAAAAAAAAGTTAAATAAACGTTATAAAATGTCTTATAAACATTTTCATAACATTTATTAAACAGTTTTAAAAAATGCAGTTTAAAAACCATATCAAATTTTTTACATTTATTTTTCAGTTTATATGTTTAATTACACGATTTTAACGTTTATTAAACATATTTTAAACGTTTGCTTCGGAAAATATATAAAAGGGCTAGATTTTAATGCTGCTATAATGCTGAATCTATATTGCATAAACGATTATGACAAATGCTTTGATTCTCGTTAGATAATTTTCAGTGTCAAATTAGCGAAAAGTACGGTATATTACTTTATTTACAAAGAGTAGTGTCGCTCGTAAATAAGATATTATAGAAACTTAGAATAAATAAGGCTAAGTGTGTAGATTATAGCTTTTTCTCTCTCTACACAATAAGGAACAAAATAATAAATATAAAAATTATTAAAGTGTGTAGATTTGATTTATTTACTTTTTGTAAATAAATGTTTTCGTTAATTTCTTATTATAAATAATTCTTTATAACTAAAAAAAATCTCATGACTTAATTTGTTCGAAAATTTATTCTAGAAATTCATTGCGCAAATGTGTTTGTCTTTGCCAAACAACTATTATTAGAATTACAAATATTTAAAGAATTTTCGCTTGTTCTTTTTCATGTACCATTGAACGAACGCGTGATCACAGCATCAAACTTTTCTCATGAATGAAAATTTGGCCAGCTTCTTTGAAGAGCCCACGCATCGCGGGACGATTCGCCAAGAACATCACGTAGTAATAATAATTTCACTTTCTCGTGTAAAACTCGATTTTGAGGAAAAAAATCGCCATGTTGAGATCGTGCTGAAAATATAGCGTCGATTACGGATGCCGCAGAAATCGCCGCACGTCTTTGCAACCGGATGTTCTCGCTCACGCGCGCTGCATTCGAATGACGACTCTATAGGGCCTTCCTCTGGATTTCCTTTAGCAAAGACATACACTCGAAACTAGCAAGAAGAGGAAAACGGAAAGATAGACGACCACTAGTGCTTTTGGAGTAAAACGTCTTGACGAACTTTCTTCTAAGTCCAATTTTGTAAAAAAATGTATTTTGACTGTAATGTCATTTATCGCGAAGAAAACTATGAAATTATGTTTTCTTCGTGCAGTAGTTTGTTACAAAGACTGAATAGTGTATATTTGCCTTTTAATATGCCTTTAAGTTAAATTTAAAAAGTTGTAACAATACATTTCGTAAATACATTTTATTATAAACATATTTACAATTAAATCTTATTTATTTACCGCCTATATAAAGATATAAATAA